TTTCGCATACCTGAAGTTGATATTCTATTCAAACTACGTTTGTTCATTCAAGATCTTCATCAATTTATTATTGCATCATCGAACAACTCATCGTTGAAAACAATCTATCGCTCTCAGTTGGCGATCACTGACGAACTCGAAACATTGAAAAAGTACACTGAGGGTGGATACATCGCATTTTCACATTTCTTTTCCGCATCAAGTCAACCTCCTTCTCAGAACCAATTCACTTCGTCAGAAGATGATGAAGAGATTCTTTTTGAAATCGATGTTTCCAATAGCAATAGTTATATGCTCGTCGAGGAACAAGTTTTAATTACATTTGGTTTAGTCACACGAGTCACAAGTATCGACAAAGACAAGAACGGAAAGACAATTGTACACTTGACAACCATTACTGGAGATGATCGACAGTATGACAAGATTATTGAACCAATGAGAAAGGAAACACGTGCGCCGCATCTATCACTTCGAACTGTGACAATATTCTTACGCAGTCCATCTCGGTCAAGCCTTGTTAGCCCACTCTCGGAGGGCGAAAAAAGATCCTCTCTTGGCATTAGCACGTACTTATCATTCATTGGGAACTGCATTGTACGAAAAAGAAGAATTCGATGAAGCACTCCATGTAATCAAGAAATCTCATGAGATTTACTTACGATTTCTTCCTGAAGATGCGCCGCAGTTATCACCAACATGGAATAATATGGGTTCGATCTATTTACGACAGGGAAATACTGAACTAGCATTGGAATATCATCAACGTGCCTTGAATATTCAGTTGAAATCACCTAGTCCAGATCTTCCATCGATCATCTCCTATTCAAATAATATTGGCGGAGTTTACTTAAAATTAGAACGGTATGATGAAGCACTTGTTCACTTTAAACGTGCCTTACAAATTGAAGAACAAACCTTACCAAAAAATCATCCGGAACTAGCAGGAACTTATCATCGCATTGGCGGTGTTTACTTTCGACAGAATAATTACGAAAAGGCACTGTGGAACGTCTATTGAAGACTCTTCCGAAAAACCACACGCAAGTACGAATGAATCAAGCATATGTCGATCGATTAAAACAAAAGCTATGGGTTAAACAATTGTTCACTACTTAAAAATCACTTTCACTCGTTTTATTGGCAACTAATTTTAGAAATAAACCAGATTTGTTTTTCTTTCAAATTCGATTATCGAATGGATTTTTCTTTTGTGATAATAAATATCTTTTGTAATAGACATCAATCCTAAATCAACAGTTTACGTCGATTGAATGTGTTCTCCTCTCTGTCGGCAGATATGTGAAAGACGACGAATGTTTGTCATTCATTCTTATTTCATAAAGGACGATGTTATCGTCGTTCATTGTTTGTCTCTCATTTCAAGTCGACGTGTTCGACTGATATTTATAGCGACTGGATTCCAAGTCAATCATATAGTGAAATGAATCGACGATTAACGAGTGTGTTGAAAAAGTCATCTTGTCCACGATCTTCAAGTATTCTCTGTTCGGTTTGTTCATGTTATCGTTCGTCACAATTATTTGTAACTGACTATTGTTGCTCACCATTGACAAAACATCACAAACGGCAAGTGTGCGATTCTTGTCTTCATCAGCACGTACTTTCCCAACTCTACTCTTGCTTGACAAATTCAATTGTGTGTCCAGAATTAAGGTGCCTTGCAAAATTATCGCAGTCGGCCATTTGCGATATTCTATTGAAGTACAAAAGTCATGATTTGCTCAATGATTATCTACGCGAACAACAATGGGAAGGCAAAAGCGACGAATGGGTTAAAAGATTTGCAGCACGTTGTCCTGGTTGTGATATTCCAATAGAAAAGAACGGAGGATGTGACGAAATGATTTGTATTCGTTGTCAAACGCACTTCTACTGGTCGAAAGCAAAGCGCTATGTACATGAGACGAAACTATTCGAATGTCAATCGTTTCTCATCGTTCATCCATTTGCAGGTGGAATGATTTTTGTGTTAATATTTCTTGTTTTAATCTTAACTGTTGCTATTTTCTTTAAATAATAAATTCATTGAATGTGATCAGAGGAAATATAGGTCTCATTCTATTGCCCTCATTATGACATTGGAAACAAGGAGCGTAAGGCTGATATATAGAGCATATTGGTTAGAGGCGTAAATGAAATTTGAAAGAAAGAATAAAATAGGGTGATTGCTAATGAAAGCATTATTATAGAAGCGAACTTATAGATGTTCATTTATCGACATATGTCGAGGATATTAACCAATTGTTTGTTGAGCATTTTAGTCTGATAATTCATAGATACTGATGTGATGACTACTCTTGAGGAAGATACTTTTTTTGCAATATCGACACATTTTGAGGGTGTGGGTGAAAATTGTTAAAATGTTATGTATGGAACCGATGTCGAAATCACACTAGAAACTACAAGAGCGAGTCTGTTCGAATCGTTTTGCAGATTTGAATGGCCATGAGAGTAACTTGGTGAAGATGTTTGTTTGGAATCAACAGAACTCGGTAAAACCTAGTTGAAGTTATGTCGAACCACAATTCAAAACATATACCTAAGCGATTTTGTTCTGAAAATTGGAATCTGTGTCCAAGATATCGTATGTTCGTTTTACTTATTCGTTCTGAGTATCTATGCGAAATGATGGTGCTTTTTATTATAGGTTTTACAAGTCTCAGCTGAAATGTATATGACTATTTACGTAGTGTTAATCTTCGATGATAGTTTATGATGAAAGTGTCAATAATATCGAGAAGATTTTTTGAATTGTTTGAACAAAGAGCTTCATGCTGAATAAGTAATGCTCGAGCAGTGGAAAATGAAACTACTCAATTCTGAAGAAATATAAACAAGTTGTTGGATTAGGAAATTTTTCATAATTTTGTTCCGAGAAACCTTGTAGAAGATTCGATAAAATAGACTTCTGATGAACTATTTCACGAAAGAAAAGATCTTGAAATCTGCTGTTCTAAGGACAAAACATCTTTCTACACTCATATTAAATGTTCATCATTTTGATTCATAAAGTGATATTCTGAGGATTATCGACGAGCATTTCTTGGATTCATTTTACAAGAACAATAGAGATGGTAGATTTTGTTATTGCCACATTAATTATTCTATTATGATCGCAATGACAATTCGGAGGAGGGTAATCTCACTATCATCTACGATCCGATACTAACTGTACAGTACTTTGCGTCGGCTGTGTCCCTTTCATACATCGGACATAGCGTTTGAGGTAGTAGAGATATGAATGACGTACGAGTACAATATGCAGCTACTATCACTTATGGGCTCGAACTATCTACCTTCATCGGTACCCACACTTCAACTAAGTGAGATAGTACACACGCTGCTATTCTAATATCATGGCGCTTCTATTCGCCGTTCTGATGGACGGTTACTGCACCATATCAAATCCGTTGCAATATAACATATTGTTCTATTCAGATTATATATGGACGTCCGAAAGCGACGCTTTACCATTGATCCACATGATAAACTTAATGACATCTAACCCAACTATCACTACTCATGACCTCTTTTTGTTTCTCATTCAAATTAAATTATATTTTCTTCATCAAACAACCACAAAAAGGCGATCTTCTATGGATGATAGAAATTTAATCTTTTTCTTGCTCACCTTTCCAGTGATCAGATTCAATCTAAGGTTTGTTTGACATGTTTAGTCTTTTCAATAACTTTGTATTATTCCCACTCTTCGCAATCAACGATTGCTTTTTGAAATATTTTCCGATGGAATTATCTTTGTCTGATGGTTATTCCCTTTATCGTTAACATCGAGGTGCAGGAATTTTATCATATAAAGAAAGAGTCTAGTGATCGCTACATCGTAAACGGATAATTCCTTTCTTTCTTCAAGTGTGATTCATTTGTTTATTCCCTGTGAACAGTGAGATTTCTACCAAGATAACAAGAAATAGTGTGCTTTTCCCCTTCACATCTCTTTCGTAGATGAATAGACAATCTCGCATTGGTTCCAGAGCGTATATTGATTTTGATTTTGGTGGCAACTAACGAATGTATCGTGCATTCTTGTGAGAATGTGTCGGAGTTTCAAACTGCTGTTAATCAGCTTCGCTGTGAAGACACGTTTTCAGATGATGTTTTTCAACAATTACTAAAGCGATGTTGCTCTTGTGACGACAAGAAAGGTAGATTCACGCATTCAGTGAGATCTTCACGATTTGAATCGATTTTGAAATTCTCCGTCAAATATGTGAAGACATTGCGTTGTCATTGTCTTCTGTCGTTAAATCTGGTTCCCCGCATCGAATATAAACGAATGTGCTAATTATTGAAGTTAAGAATTAAATTTTCACTATCTGTATATGTTTAGAGTTTTGCAGACGGAGGAAGAGCACAGCACAGATGAAGAAGAAACGCCAGATTTCAACGCCCAGTACACAGTCATCGATGACATACAATGAGAATACAGATGACGAATGCACATCACCTGACATAATAGATCCCATCGATGAGTTTGCGAAAGGTATGTTTACTTGTGTAGAATCAACAGTACAAAATGATGTTAATGAGAGCATATTCGGGGAATCGTTAGACGACTGCTGTAAAGATGAGTACTGACATGTTATGTGTTTTAGTCATGGAAACGTTCCAAGTAACAGCAGCAGCTGATGATGGATGTATTGTTCATAATTCCAAGTACCGATCGAAGTTTAATCATGCTGTTAATATAATTCGACGTTCAACGAAGTTTAACAAACAGATAAATATGTAATTCACGAATATTTTTCGTACGTCTATTGTCGTTTCAGGTTTGAATGTGATCGATCTCAATGTATTGGTTAGCAAATGTGATGAAATTGTGTCGGATAAAACACCTCAGCCAGTGCACGACGTTCTCCGTGTTTTTGAACTTTCGTTCGAAACGGAAACATCTTCCCAAGAACGTCGCGCAAGAGTTTCTCGTTTTATTGGGAAAAAGGCTGCAATTTCGATACTCTACGGAATAAATACAATGTTCGCATTCACATCATCGATAGATCGTCCAACAAAGTACTTATCAAAAAGAGCATCAATGTCAGAAACAAAGACGGTATAGAAGAAACAGTTTCTGCTGACAAACTTCGCGTGTTAATTCGAAGAAAATCGAAATTGACGACAGATATAATTTCATTCGATGAAATCCAACGAGAGATCAGTGAAAAATGGGAGGAAGCAAGTGAATTTCGATTTATTCAAAGAGAATTTACCTTTGATGACAAAGATCAATTTAAATTCGTGTGTCTTCCATTCAAATTGACGCTCTTACTGAAAGAAAGTCGTCGAATAATGAGCCGTTTTATTAGAGAGAAAGGCGAACATCTACGTAAGTTAGAAGATCAATACAATATTCGCTTACATATCATCAAAAATGAAAAATTGAATTACAAATATTTTGAAAAGATCGTCGAGAAGCAAAATGGAAACGCTTCAGGGAATTTCTATTTATTCATCACCCAGAAAAACCGATCGGCTGCAGGTAAAATTCCTATTGATGAAGTCAAGAAGCAAATAATCGAACAATGGAAAAATAACACTCAGGTTGCGAGACCCAGCTTTCAATCAAAATCGTCGATCAAAAGGCGAACGAGAAGAAGAATTCGTCGAAGATAAATGGAGGAAAACAGCGAGAAACATGAACTAAAGATAGAGCATTATTCCAAAAATAAATCGTTTTAATACTATGCACCAGCAGATTTTTCTAAGCACGATTTACTGGAGAAGTGATCGTATTAATAGCGCTATCTACAGTATAAAAAGGAAAATAAAAGTGAGCAGACGATTTCAATCCTTCGTCTTCCAAATATCAGATCTGCTTCTACAAAATGTTCCTCTATTGATCACTTGTTTATTGAATCGGGAGCTATGGGGATGATCAGACGGAAATCTCATTGGTTGTTCTGATGTACTCATTGGTAGACAGACGGTTGAAGAACAAATTTGACAAATATTAGTTGGACTATTGAGGGAAAATAAACGACTTCGATCTTTTCATTTTGTCTAATTAAAAAAAGGAACTTAACATAATAACCATTGATATTTAGATGTTGTTACTTCGATTCACTCGTTTATATTCTACAGTTGTTGATCTCGGCCTACAAATGAAGCAATTAAATGACAAAAAGCAGTTTAGGAAAGCACTTTCTTCATTTGAGAAGCATTATCCAAAACAAATGAGTCCTTTAATTGTCAATCAAGCCTTTCGTGCTTGTGTTCATCTGAACGAGTTTCGACGTGGAAAAACTATTCATCAAGAATTACCTGCAAGTTTACTTAACAATCAATATATTCGCACTAATCTCATTCGATTATATAGTAAAAAGTTCATTGAAACGATTCATTGCAGTTCAATTCCTCTTTTTGGTTCATAGTGAACTGTAACGATGTTGATAAAGCACGAGAAATTTTCTCTACGGCACCAAAGAAATCAGTTGTCATGTACAATACAATGATCGAGGGTAATATCAACTGTATGTGTAATCAAACCAAGTGATGGTATTTGATTTTCAGGCCTTGGAGAAAATAATCGAGAAAAAGAAGTTTTGAAACTATTTGAAAAGATGTCTGTGACACCAAATGCTTACACTTATAGTATTTTATTCAAGCTTTGCACTCAATTACCCGATCGTGACGTATTTGAGTTTTGTAAAACGGTCTGGAAGGAAATCTCGCACGACAATCAAAAGAATCCAGTGGTATCAACTTCGTTCTTAGGGTTACTTCTCAAGCATCAACAAATCTCAGTTTGTGAAAAGTTCTTTTCTCAAATTGAAAAGAATAACGTTACTCATATAACTATGATGAAGGGTTTGCATATCTCCACTCTCAATCTTAACATAATCTCTATTTCTTTGTTTTCTTCAGGGGTATCTTTCACATGGAATGCCGCAAAAAGCAATTGATCTCTTTTTCCAACTTGACAAACCCGATGAAATAGCGACAGGAGCGTTTTTTAATGCATGTTCTCAAGTAAAAGACAAAAACACGTTGGCTTTAGCTGAAAAGGGCTTTTCCCGACTTCGTTCTCCATCTGATCGTCTTCTTCAATCAGTTTTCAATATGTACTTCCAACATGCTGATATTTCCAAAGCGAAAATTCTTTTTGAAAAAGTTCAACGAAATGTTATCAATTATGCTTCATTAATGAAACTATACAATGATCAAAGTCAACCAGAGAAGACTTTAAAATTATTTCAAAGAATGAAAGCTGAACATATTGAAGGAGGTTCAGTTGTTTTCGTCTTATTAATCAATGCTTGTGCAAATATCCGCTTTTCGTCTTTGTCTCGATCGATTGTGAAACAAATTCCACAATATTTGCTTGATGATTACTGGTTGCAAAGATCACTCATATACATGTGGGTAAGTTCTCATCAAAAGAGTATGAAATGAATGATACGAAAAAGCATTAAACAACATTTAGGATAAATCAGGTTCAGTGGATGAAGCACAACGAGTTTTCAATCGAATTGCTCAACCAAGTAGCATAGCTTTTTCAGCAATGAGTAAGATTTTAGATCTGTTATTCAAATAATGTTTCATATAACAGCATCCGATGATTAGTCAATGCATACGGTTTGCATGGAAGAGGAAAAGAAGCAATTGAATTGTTTAGTCGAGTTCCAATGGAAATGATAAATGATCAGATTCATGTTTGTGTATTAAATCCATGTTCTCATTCGGGCTTGATTACAGAAGCTGAAGAGATTTTCAATAGAATTCCTTATGACAAACGAACAGAAAAAGTCTTTACTACTATGGTTAGTGTGAGAAACACGTTTTTCGTAAATTTCAACTCATCTGAACAAAGGTTGATGGATTTGCTCGTTGATTTGAATTTGCTCGTGCACAACAGTTAATTGATGAATTTGAAAAGACTCATTCTCCTTGTTCACATATGTACAGTAAGCATTTGCAGTTGATTGAACAGAACCTGGCTTAACTTCATGGATTTAGTGACGATGTTATCGAGTGCAAGAAATCGGAAAGATGCTGTCTTAGCTCAAAGACTATTCGATCGTATTCGTTTATTATTTTCTGATGACGAAAAGATTCTTTCATCAGCAACAGTTGTTTTAGCAAATACCTATGGATTAAGCGAAGATTTAGCACGAACAGCAGATCTTCGAACAGAAATGGCTGAATCTGGGTTGAAGAAAGTGTCTGGACGATCATCGATGGCGAACTTGTGGTAAGACTTGTGACAAGTTGATTTCAGATAAAAATGTGTTTTGTTGAAGCACTTTTATGCGAATGATCGGTCACATCCTCTTTCGAACAAGATTTATCATCAACTAGATCAGTTAAAAAATGAACTAAGTCAACATGGTTATCAATCGGACGAATCTTGGGTATCAAGACCTTTGACTGATGGTGAAACAAACGAGTCTGTTCTATGGGCACACTCGGAGAGACTTGTCATTGCTTTTCAATTGATTCAAACACCAAAACCGTCTTTCATTGAAATAGTACAAAATCTTCGAATATGCCAAGGTTGCCGTAAGCCATTACTATTGAATTGATTCATGTTCTATGCATATTCATATTTAGATACAGCAATTAAACTAATAGCTAAAATTCATCGATGTTCCATTGTTATTCACGATGCAAATCGTATTCATCATTTCGATACGACAGGAAAGTGTTCTTGCAATGAGCGTTTTTGAATAAAAAAAATAGGAAAAATAGAATACTTTTCATTCACATTGTTCTTTCTATTGGCTATTGACCACAGCTAAACATAGATTGATTAAGTCAATAGTGTTCATTAACTCAAACTATTATCAGTCATTCGGTCGACTCCGTATTTATCTCACAGATTGACATATGATGTGTTTGTTCTTTCGATATTGTACTGCGCAACATACTATACGTTAATCATTTTTTGAGGAGCGTATTTTCTGGATGATTTGTAGTTCAAGGGCTTTTTGTCTAAATGAAACGCTCTTTTCAAGTAGAACAACTTGAAAAGAAAATGGAACTAGAAATATCTGTTGTTCGTTGACGTCTACTCACAGATTCTCAAACATCATCGCGAGTGTGAAGACAATCGAAGCAAGCGCTGTATTTGCATGGTTCATGTTGATGATACCCAGGTTATTATGGCACGGTCGGTTCCGGTTAGTTAGGTTCGTTTTCCGACTATTTCCACCTGCCCAGGTCAACAAATCCGATGCTGGATCCGACCATCCGACAAAATCCTATATTGAATCCGATGGGATCCGAGTATAGGATTGCTCGACCTGGATGGTCGAGTTCCTGAAGATCAAATATTGAAAAGAACTCAAGTTTACCCATCAAACAACACCACAGATTCAACGGTGTTCACAAAAGATGTTCGCGTCAATAAAACATTCGCCAACGGTGCAGAAAACGATATCTATTTCCTGATTCTTCTCTTGGCTACCGCTGTCTTTTCTGATACAGTCTTGCACGCGAACGATCGTCTATGGAGTTAGTTATCTGTCTTGTCGAATAGCTTATGCAATGGCTTATATTTTAGCACTGCAACCATGGAAAACCATTGAATATGTGTTTGATCTAGCTTATACGCTGACATGCAGTTTGGATGTAATGATTACATGGTCACGCCGCACATACTGGTCAGTTTATTAAAACTTGTTGCTTTTGTAATAAATAAATAAGTAAAAATTTTAATAAAATAAAAAAAAAGGGTTATGGTATGCGAATGATTGGCTTAATATAGTATCGTTGTATATTGCTTATTATCTGAAACAAACGTCTTTTTTATCCCACTGACAGCACACCATCATCAAAGGCCATGGGAGCAAAGCAAGTTTCTATCATGTACGAGTTATGTATGTTGAAAATTAACGCCCTCCATTTATTTATCGATGTGAAGCTAGCCCAACGATATGTTAGGTAAAAACTTTTTTACTAAATATGGCCCGTCCATGAAAACTACACTATTCGACTCAGAATTTAATTCTGGATCGAATGATGGTACTTCTATCCACCGGACAAACTCTGGGAAAATTCGTTCTGAATTTTAAATAGACCTAAAGGAAACGAACAAAGATATAGATAAGAATTTTTCCACAGTTTGTCCGGTGAATAAAAGTATCATCATTCGCTGCAAAATTAAATTCTGAGTCGAATAGTGTAGTTTTCATGGACGGGCCATATTTAGTAAAAAAGATTTTACCTAACATATCGTTTGTTCGTGCTAGCTTCACATCGATATTTATTTTCTTCTCACGAACCGGAATGCAAAATACTTCTTATCAGCTAATAGGGTATTTTGTCGACCAATGAACCGAAAAAATTATTGTACCGTTTTCATTTATTATACATACTCAACCATCATCGCTACTCTCGTGAGAACGAAGTGTGAGTCAAAGAAGCGGCCTGACGCGAGAATAAAGGAAAAGAAAGTGAAATGGTGTTGTTCGTCGCTGTTCATTATCGCTTTTCTATAGAATATTTCAGTTTTAATTTTATTCTTTAGAACAGAATTGAATTCTTCATTGATTCACTACAAAGGCAAATCAAGTAAAGATCTCAAGTTTGATAATATATATAAGGTAGAAATTATACTGAAATATTCACAAATTTCTTTTGTCTTATTTTAGTCAACAATCAAAATATCAAACATTCCCAGATTATTGTGGCTCGGTTGGTTCCAACCGGTTAAGTTCGCTTTCCGACGACTTCCTCGCCGCCGGAAGTTCAAACGAAGTTTCCAGTTACTTCCTGACCATTTCCTGCAAACTTTGAGCTGGAATCGAATGGAATTATACCGAAACCAACTCAAGTTTAAACGGATCGAGTCACCGGAATGATCGGCCTGGGAAGCTGCACAAGCAAAGAAAGACATTGAACAAAAGTTAATGAAAAAACGCGATTATTTTAAACGAAAATATGATCAAAGATAGATTATGCTGCTTTCTCTCTGATGGATTTTATTGAATAAACAACTAGAGCTATTAGGATACAAAATAGATGCATTCATTTCTGCTTTTGTGCGAGTAGAGATTAGACGCGTATTCTCTTGTCATTCTTATTATTATATTCTTGTTTCTTTGTTTCCTCCTTCTTCTTTTGCGCCAGAGGAGAAATCTTAGACTCATTGAACTGTCGTAGTACACGACATCCACAAACGCCGAAAGCAACAGTATCTTCCCCAGAAAAGAGAGATGAAAAGGAAGACGATGATGATGAAGAAGAAGGAGGTAGCAGTGGCGGTGGTGGTGCAGGTGCAGGTTTTACCGATTTTCTCCAACTTTTACAAGCTATGTCCGGTGGTGCTATTCGTATTCCATCAAGCAATGATGATGGAGATGGTGTGTAAGGTCTACTCGCTCGATTAGGAATTATAAATCGTAAGTTGGATGTTCGCTTTTTGAACTGACTGTTGTTGTGTGATGAATACAGTTTAGGAACAAGTTCTCGAAAAAAACTAACAAACTTAACTCTACGACAGGTGGGAAATGTTGAAAATTATCTTCTTGTTTACTAGGATGCGTCATCACCGGATGATTGTGTTGCACTCATCAATACAATCATTAATGAGAAGGTAATATTCATCGTCACGGATGCGCTCGGAGATCCTGTTGTGTCACGTATCCAAGATCTTCAGCAAATATTTGCTATCTATGTTTTGTGTCAAACAGAAGAACAAGCAGACAATTGGTCAACGAATCAACCGAAAATTCGTGGAATTTACACGGATATCAATGAAATTCTTGTCAAAGTGAAACACGATATCGAAACTGATGAAAATAATTCGTTAACATTTACACACGCATTACCAACAACTAATGTCAAACAAGAACCATTCTTTGTCATCAATCAAATCATTAAAGAAATCATTCTCGATTCCGACGAAATGACTGAAGCAAAAAACGAACTTCTTCATTTCTGCCGAACAGAATATAAAGATAATCCTGAACAATTAGCTTTCATCGAACAATTCGAGGCGAATTATCAAAAAGAAGATGTTCTAGAATTGTTTCAAAAACAACAATTTCTATACAAAGTTAGTCGAGGAACGTCACTCATTGTTTAATAACTTCTTTTCTTCAATTTAGATGTTAAACAAAGGCTTTCGCATACCTGAAGTTGATATTCTATTCAAACTACGTTTGTTCATTCAAGATCTTCATCAATTTATTATTGCATCATCGAACAACTCATCGTTGAAAACAATCTATCGCTCTCAGTTGGTGACCACTGACGAACTCGAAACATTGAAAAAGTGCACCGAAGGTGGATACATCGCATTTTCACATTTCTTTTATGCGTCAAGTCAGCCTCCTTCTCAGAACCAATTCACTTCGTCAGAAGATCACGAAGAGATTCTTTTTGAGATCGATGTTTCCAATAGCAATAGTTATATGCTCGTCGACGAACAAGTTTTAGTTACATTTGGTTTAGTCACACGAGTCGCAAATATTGACAAAGATAAGAACGGAAAGACAATTGTACACTTGACAACCATTACTGCAGATGATCGACAATATGACAAGATTATTGAACCAATGAGAAAGGAAACACGTGCGCCGCATCCATCACTTCGAATTGTAAAATTGTTTGTTGAACTCGGACAGTATTCCTATGCAGTTCACCTCGGTCAAGTTTTATTAGCGGACTCTCCGACGGCGAAAAAAGATCCTCTCTTGGCATTAGCACGTACTTATCATTCATTGGGAACTGCATTGTACGAAAAAGAAGAATTCGATGAAGCACTCGATATAATCAAGAAATCGCATGAGATTTACTTACGATTTCTTCCTGAAGATGCGCCGCAGTTATCACCAACATGGAACAATATGGGTTCGATCTATTTACGACAGGGAAATACTGAACTAGCATTGGAATATCATCAACGTGCCTTGAATATTCAGTTGAAATCACCTAGTCCAGATCTTCCATCGATCATCTCCTATTCAAATAATATTGGCGGAGTTTACTTAAAACTAGAACGGTATGATGAAGCACTTGTTCACTTTAAACGTGCCTTACAAATTGAAATACAAACCCTACCCAAAAATCATCCGGAACTAGCAGGAACTTATCATCGCATTGGCGGTGTTTACTTTCGACAGAATAATTACGAACAGGCGCTGGAATATTATGACAAAACCCTCGAAATTGAACTGGCTGCTTTACCCGATCATCATCCCACAGTTGCTGTCACGTATCATAATCGTGGCACAGCTTTAGAAGGTCTAGGCAGACTCGCGGAGGCTGTCGAAAGTGCTGAGAAAGCTGTAGAACGCTTATTGAAGACTCTTCCGAAAGACCACACACAAGTACGAATGAATCAAGCGTATGTCGATCGATTAAAACAAAAGCTATGGGTTAAACAATTGTTCACTACTTAAAAATCACTTTCACTCGTTTTATTGGCAACTAATTTTAGAAATAAACCAGATTTGTTTTTCTTTCAAATTCGATTATCGAATGGATTTTTCTTTTGTGATAATAAATATCTTTTGTAATAGACATCAATCCTAAATCAACAAGTCATGTCGATTGAATTTTCCTGTCTTAGTCGGTAGATATGTGAAAGACGACGAATGTTATCGTCGTTCGCTATTTATCTCTCACTTGAAGTCGATGTGTGCGACTGATATTTCTAAAGAGTTTGATCCCAGGTTGATCTATATTGCAAATGAATCGACGATTATCAAGTGTGTTGGAAAAAGCATATTTTCCGCGATTCTCAAGTATTGTCTGTTCAGTTTGTTCGTGTTATCGTTCGTCACAGTTGTTTTTAACGGATTATTGTTCTTCACCGCTACCGAAACATCATGAACGAGATTCTTGTGTTAATATTTCTTGTTTTAATCTTAACTGTTGCTATTTTTCCCTTTTCTGAAAGAAAGGGTTATAGCGTTCTAAAATCGGTGGGTCAAAACCTAAAAGTTTGTGAGTTTGTCCAATCCAATCAGGTTGTGAGTTTTTCAATCCAATCAGGTCGCAGCTTTTTATAAACCAATGAAACCTTAGAGATAACCATACGGAAATGATTCACCTGAGGTAATCAAGGTCGATGATCACGAATCCGATATTAGTTTTTCCATAAAAACTATCTGTCCTGTTTTTTGCGACAACGGTTCACTTTTTTGCAAAAAGATCTTTTTTAATAATTTTTATAAGGGTTGACCGAAGGATTTTCGAGGTCGAGGAATCCGAATCCGAGGTTAGTTTCTCGAAATTCTAATTACCTCATTAGCTAATTAGCTAATTAACCAATGAAAATTTTCTTCGTTGTAAAGTAAGGATTGACCGAAGGGTAATCGGAGTCGAGGATCTCGAATCCGGTGTTAGTTTTTTCATGAACACTTTCTGACCCGTTTTTCGTGACAAAGGATCAATTTTTTAGACGATAATGTTTTAAGCGGCAATATGTAGAACAAAATGTAACAGCTGACTGACGTCCGATCGCTGGATCTCCATAGTCATCAGCATATTAATGAGATCACACACTTATATAAACAGCTATACTATACGAATATCATCTGATACCAGTCATTCAAAATAATGTTTCGCTTGTCAGGTGTTGTCTTCGACAGTCACAGTAGCACAAAGAGGGTGACTTTTAAAGAAGGAATAGAGGAGAATGAATGAATTACTTTCAAAAGTGACTCTAGACGAAATGGAAGAGTGAAAATGTACATGTAACGGCTAGCCGCGAGTGGCCGACCGGAGGGAGGCCGACGAGCGACTAGTCGTCGATTTGCAGAATAATATTTTTAAGAACAAACTTTGATTTTTATAGAGCTTTAAGACTTCTTGGTCAGAAATTAATCGTTGCTCTGCACGAACATAGGTGGCAGCCATTTAAGGTTCCTCGTGGTGGAGAGAAGATTGAAACCTTTTCCAGATAATCACATAGCTATCTAAAGCTTCTTAGTTTTTGATTATGAATTGCTTTTCCGAAATGTGGTCATTTTCGGAACGCGTCTTCGTCCGAATGAAGTTAAGATAGTAAAATGAGTACGCATGGGAACAGCTAGCCGTGAGTGGCCGACCGAAGGGAGGCCGACGAATGACTAGTTGTTTCTCTTGAAAATTAGTTGAAAAGTGAGATTTATAACACTGTCGCAAAGTGCCCATCATTTTTCTAAGGTATATATATATGACATCTTTTCGAGCTTCAAGAAAAATCTATGTAGATCATCGACTTATTCAACTAAAAATGATAATAAAAGATATACTGTAGGTCACGAAGTTGTGAAGAATTTCGGCAACTTTGCTAGAGACGGACTCGACAAGAACGAGGTACTTTTTAATATGAAAATATCATTAAACACTTATTAGGTAGCGACGGCTAGCGGTGAGTGGTTCACCGGAGAGAGGCCGACAAACGAATAGGCGTTATAATTTCAGAAGATTTCAGGAAGCGAAATTGATCCAAGTGAAACATTCTGACAAACTATCAAATGATCAGATCGTGTAACTGAAACAACTTTTTTCTCTCTTTGGACGAATAGTAGCGCTCTAATACTATCCATTCAGTAGAGGTTTAGCGGCTACTAGGCCGCGTTACTTGTAGGTTACATACATCATGTCTTTTTATGGGAATTTAGTGGAAGCAGTTCGCAAAGTGATATACCAGTCGGTAGAATTCCATCTTAGTAATTACAGACGCGTGGACTGTAGAAACAGTATTCTCAACACATACAGCTCTATGAAAGATGTTCGTTTCGAAGCAAATTATAGAATAAGACTGTCTTATCTAGTTTCTTTTGGTAGTCGAATGAATAGAAGATCATGACTGTCGAAGCGACAATAAAAGAAAACCCAATCGTTCAGTTTGGAAGTTGATCAAAGGCGAAAGGAATAACAGAGATAGGATGGCAACGGCTAGTCGTGAGTGACCGACCGGAGGGAGGTCGACGAACGACTAGACGTTTATTTTGAAAATCACTTGAAAGATGAGATTTATCACTGTCTCAACTAAAGCCAATGATTTTTGAACGAGCGTAATTGATGTGTTTTCGAGCTTCGAGAATAGGGNAGTTTACTTAAAATTAGAACGGTATGATGAAGCACTTGTTCACTTTAAACGTGCCTTACAAATTGAAGTACAAACGCTACCCAAAAATCATCCGGAACTAGCAGGAACTTATCATCGCATTGGCGGTGTTTACTTTCGACAGAATAATTACGAAAAGGCACTGTGGAACGTCTATTGAAGACTCTTCCGAAAAACCACACGCAAGTACGAATGAATCAAGCGTATGTCGATCGATTAAAACAAAAGCTATGGGTTAAACAATTGTTTACCACTTTAAAATCGCTTTCACTCATTTACTGGCAACTAGTTTTAGAAATAAACCAGATTTTGTTTTTCAAATTCGATTATCGAATGGATTTTTATTGTAGTAGACACCAATCCTAAATCAACAAATCATGTCGATTGAATTTTCTTTTCTTAGCCGGCAGATATGTGAAAGACGACGAATGTTATCGCCGTTCATTGTTTATCTCTCACTTCTAGTCGACGTTTTCGACTGATATTTATAACGAGTTCGATTCCAGGTTGATCTATATTGGAAATGAATCGATGATTATCGAGTGTGTTGAAAAAGTAATCTCTGTTCAGTCTGTTCGTGTTATCGTTCGTCACACTTGTTTTGAACGGATTATTGTTGTTCACCGCACTTCTACTGATCGAAAGCAAAGCGTTATGTTCATGATGCGAAACTATTCGAATGTCAATCGTTTCTCATCGTTCAGCCATTTGCAGGTGGAATGATTTTTGTGTTAATATGTGCTGTTTTAATCTTAACTGTTACCATTTTCTTTAAATAATAAATTCATTGAATGTGACTAGAGGAAATATAGTTATAGGTCATTCTGTTGCTTTCATTATGGTTTGAGGTGAATGAGTATGTTTTCACTCGTTTCTATTCCACAGTGTATTGATATTGGTCTACAGATGAAACAATTAAATGGCAAAAAACAGTTTCGCAAAGTATTTTATTTGTTTCAGAAGCATTTTCCAAAACAGACGAGCCCTTCAATTACCAATCAAGCCGTTTGTGCACGTATTCATCTGAACAAGATTCAAGGTGAAAAAACCATTCATCAAGAATTACCTTCAAATTTACTTTACAATCAATGCATTCGCACAAATCTCATTCGTTTATACAGTAAAAAGCTGATTAAGAAAATAGAATTTCGTTATATTTTCCTTTTCGATCTATAGCGATGTGTAGTGACATTGATAAAACATGAGACATTTTCTTTACGACGACAAAGAAATTAATCGTTATGTACAATGCAATGATCAAGGGTGATATCAAGTGTATTCGATATTATATTAAGTGATTGCATTTGATTTTCATTTCTTGAAGAAAATAATCGAGAAAAAAGAAGCTTTAAAACTATTTGAAAAGGCCTCTGTTACACCAAATGCTTATACTTATAGTAATCTATTCGAACTTGGCACTCAATTATCCGATAGCGACGTATTTGGGTTTTGTAAAACGGTCTGGAAGAAAATCTCGCTCGACAATCAAAAATAATCTAGTTGTTTCAGTTCATTCTCATTCTCATTCTCAAACCAATATCAATTTCTGAAGAATTCTTTTCTCAACTTCCTTCTTCATCTGTTCGTCTTCTTCAAACGGTTTTCAATATGTATTTTCAACATGGTGATATTTCCAAAGTGAAATTTCTTTTTGAAAAGATTAAACGAGATGTTATCAATTATGCTTCATTAATGAAACTATACAATGATCAAAGTCAACCAGAGAAGACTTTAAAATTATTTCAAAGAATGAAAAATGAAAAAATTGAAAGAGATTCAGTTGTTTTCGTATTAGTAATTAATGCTTGTGTAGATATTCGGTTTTCGTCGTTATCTCGATCGATTGTGAAACAAATTCCACAATATTTGCTTGATGATCATTGGTTGCAAAGATCACTCATATACATGTGGGTAAGTTCGGACAAAAAGGATACGAAATGAATGACACGAAATAGAATCAAACGGCATATTTAGGGCAAATCAGGTTCAGTGGAGGAAGCCACAACGAGTTTTCAGTCGAATTGCTCAACCGAGTAATGTGGCTTTTTCAGCAATGAGTAGTATTTCAATTGGTAGATAAAATAATGTTTTATTTGGAACAATTTTCTAATTAGTCAATGCTTATGATTGGAATCGAAGAGGCAAAGAAGCAATTGAATTATTGAGTCAAGTTTCAATGAAAACGATAAATGATCAGATTCATGTTTGTGTATTAAATGCATGTTCACATTTGGGTTTGATCAAAGAAAGTGAAGAAATCTTCTATGGAATTCCTTATGACAAACGAACGGAAAAGATCTATGCTGCTATGGTTAGTATGAGAAGTACGGTTTTCAGAAATCTGAACTCATTTGAAAATAGGTTGATGGTTTTGCTCGTTGATTTGAATTTGCTCATGCACAACAGTTAATTGATGAATTTGAAAAGGATTATTCTCCTTGTCCACATATGTACAGTAAGAATTTTCAATTAATTAAGCGAGATGATTCAGCTTCATTCATTTAGCGACAATTTTATCGAGCGTCTGGAATAAAAAAGACGCTATGTTAGCTCAAAGAATATTCGATCGTATTCCCCTAGTATTATCTGATCAAAATGTATGTTTTGTTCAAACACTTTTATGCAAATGATCGATCACATTCTCTTTCAAACCAGATTTGTCATCAACTAGATCAGTTAAAAAGTGAACTAATTCAACATGACTATCAAGTTGACGAATCTTGGGTATCAAGATCACTGGCTGATGGTGAGACAAACGAATATGTTCGATGGGAGCATTCGGAGGAACTTACTATTGCTTTTCGATTGATTCAAAAACCAAAACCGTCTTTCATTGAAATAGTAAAAAATCTTTGTATATGTCAAGATTGCCGTGAGTCGTTGCCATTGAATTTATTCATATATTCTATTCATATTTATATTTAGATGAAGCAATTAAACTAATAACTAAAATTCATTAATGTTCCATTGTTGTTCATGATATCAATCGTATTCATCATTTTGATACGACAGAAAAATGTTCTTGTAATGATCTTTTTTTGAATATGAAAACGAAAAAAAGAATACTTTGCATTCATACTACTTTTCTTATTGGTTATGGATCGCGGATAAATACAGACTGATTGAATCAATAGTAATTATTTTCTCAAGCTGTTATCAGTCATTGAAATGACTCCGTAGTCACCTTAGTCCTTTCCAGTCGACCACTAGAAGACAGTAAGAAAGAAATGTTAATACATGTTCTTTGTCCTTTCTATTTGTGGGTTCTTTTGAACGTTTCGGGAAAATTCATTCCAGTCACTAGCACTGGAGTGCATGTTTCTTTCTTACAAAAACATATTTGTGCTAAAATATGAGTAGTCGTTTATCAAATGACTTAGGGAACTATATTTCATCGTTCTGAGAAAAACGTGTATTGGTATTGGCAAAACATTGCCAAATGGTAACATCCAGCCGGAAAAGGTTTTAGAGATTCACACGTGGCATGTTTGCTCTTTCTGTATTGCGCAGAGCATTTTCTGGGTGATTTATCGCTCAAGGATATTTTATCTAAATGAAGCACTTTTTCAAGTAGAACAACTTGAAAAGAAAATAGAACTATAAATATATGTTCTTCATTGAAGACTGCTGACAGATTCTCACATCATCATGGTGAGTGTGAAGACAATTGAAGCAAGCGTTGTATTTGCATGGTTTATGTTGATGATGCTCTTACGCCGTATCGTTCTATTGATTGTTGCTGGTGTCTCAGCAAGAAATCGACCGTTTCCACCTGGTCGAGTTCCAGAAGATAAAATATTGAAAAGAACTCAAGTTCACTCTACAAACAACACAGCAGATGCCACGACGTTCACCAAAGATGTTCGCGTCAATAAAACAATTGTTAATGATGCAGAAAATGATACATATTTCCTCATTCTTCTCTTGGCCACAGCTATCTTTTCTGACACAACCAGTTATGATTCCACACGAACGATCGTCTACAGCGTTCTTTATTTATTCTTTCGAATAGTTTATGCCATTGCTTATATTTTAGCGTTGCAACCATGGAGAACGATTGCATACGTGTTCGGTTTAGCTTGTACATTGGCTTGCAATTTAGACCTGGTCATTACATTATCGCGTCGAACATATTGATCAATGACTTGAAACTCATTAATTTCGTGACCAATGTATAGTGAGCAATTTTTATTGAAATAAAAGGAAAAAAGAAAAATAAATTGTTCCCAACATACTTCTTCTCTAACAACTTCAATTGTGTCCCAAAGCGGCGTTCTCTCGGGAACTTATATCAACCGTCTACATGTGAACAACAATGAGAACACAAAAACAATGTACAAACTAAATATTAGTTTTGCACTATTCATCTATTTAATTTGTTCTCTAATACTTTTTCTTTTGATCTTTGTTGCTTTTATTTACTTCCAATGATAAATTTATTTACGTAATCAAAAGAGATGGAGATCACAGCTTTGTTCCAGTTTGAGTAATTGTTCCTATGATGTTTCGAGGTGGTCCACAACGAAATAATACCCTCATCCACTTCTGCAGTTCAGGTAACAAACCTATACAGATCCATGGCAGAAAAAGACAAACGATATAGATCATGTCAAGAAAATAATCTGTTTGGATTTCAGCAAGAAATGTTGGATTACCCAGTATTTGCACAACACCAACGATTAGACACGGCGACCACGCTGTCAAATAGAGACTTGAGATGCAGAACAACTGGATGGTCATACGTCGTTGTTGTTTCCATGTCACAGGTCGATGCTGTCGACGTTTCTGATGCACCACACGAACGACTAACAACAAGTTGGCAAATGCATTCACCAACATCGGTAAACCATTGTTGATGGACCAGTCGAGTGTGCCGAGCACTTTGTTCGACACCAGATAACAATCAGCAAAACCACAAAGATTACTTGTGTAGTCCCATTGTGATCCATCACATGGATAGAGAATGATGACGAAGAAATAGAAAAGCATTGGATAAGTGAGACACAACAGAAGTGGAATATGGTGAAGAACGATGCGCATCCATCGAATGTTGAGAACATGGCTGCTAAAGACCAGCATGTGTCGTTGAACAGAGATGGTTGCCATGAGGTATTCGCTGGTGACATAGAAGGTGAATTCGATGAAAGTCCACCATGTGCAGTAGATGTGTGTTGCAGGATTGACATAGCCTTGACTGTAGAAATGGAGATTGAGTGGTAGAGTTATCGATAGCTGCATGAAGTTAACGATGAGTAGTATGATGAGAGCTCGATTGTGAGGAGCTTGTCGAATAGTGGGATTCTTTGTGAAAAAGATGAAGATGAGGAGAGAGAGAATAATTGCTGGAACTTGCAATAAGAGTAGAATGGAGAACTTGGTTCGATGTAAGACATATTTGGTATAAACAAATGTTTCTGTACCGTTCATGTTTGGTCTGCAAAACAAATGAATGATGTAGTTTCTGTAAAGTAAGTACTCCATGAAAAGATACTTTTAAGAATGGGTATTAATGAACTTTGAACATTGAGATATAATGAGAGTATATTGTAGTTGAAGACATTAATCCTGTAGGATTACGGATGTTTTCTAGAAAAAAATGCTTTTATGCATTCTGTTAGTCTGAATGAAGTTTGATAATTATATGATATTGGACATCATAGATGCACAGAAAGTGGATGTGCATGATATCTGTTTGTGAAGTTAAGTTTGTGAATAGGGAAACATTTGTTTGCACAGTTTGTTTTCGAGATTTTTAATGTATGATACAATTACAGAGCTTCACTAAAGCTATTAGAGCAGATTTGAAGAATATATCTAAACACGTCTTTAAAAGGCTGTCAGCGTCTGGAATCAGTACTCTCTGATGAGTCGTAAGCAAAGCCGATTATTGTTACTTTTATTTGTCATTATTAATTGAAGTAAGGTGCGATTTAATAGACAAATATTCTTTGAATTGCTGTTAGTAAGGAGATTTGACTGCGTCGGAAGTTTATCGATATATCCTCCTTCATTGACAAGAAGAAAGAATGCACTTAATTATTCTTAATAACTTAGTATGTAGATTTCAAGTTTTTTCTAATCTAACTTAAGAAGCGTTTGAATGAGAAAACTTGCAACGAATTGTGTTCTTTTGATAGCGAGCTAATTTAAAAAATTATAAATATAAACGAACTGTGGTTAAATCCGAAGCATCAGCGCACAAATCTTATGCTCACGCAGGGGTTTCTCTTTTTTTACTGTTCCTCAACCCACGCAAAGATAGTTGCGATTATGTGATAGGATAGTGCGAGAAAGTGAATTGAAAACAACCGTTTTCAAAAGTAACGTACGCAATAACATTGTTCGTTGTCTTTAGTCAATAGGCATTTTGCAGCTGCAAGCATACATGATCGAAAGATAAAGGCTGAAAAGAATTAGTCACCAGACAACACATGTTTGTTTTCACCATTCGAGCGGAACTCTATTTCATGGTTCATATTGCACTTTGCGAGCACATTTTAGTTCGTGTGCCATATAGTTTTGTTGTGAAATGCGGAACGAGTGTTTCTTCATGCTCTGTTTTGTGTCGCAATGAATAACTATCCTGTCGACGTAGCCCCATGTCGTATAATTATTCAGAGAGTAAAATGAAAATAATTTTCCTCTTCACAAGAGGAAACCGATCAGGGGATGAAGATCATCTTTAGAGAGAAAAAATTCAAAAATTAGATTCCAAAACAGTATACGACAACAAATCTCTGAACGCTATAGTCTTCAGTGAAGTTCATGCATTTTTTCGGATGCAATATTTGTCCAGAAAACCATTCGCTGTGATCAGTTAGTGGTGATTTGCATACAAACAACTATTTATGAAGTTATACATTGCACATGTTTGAGCGTTGCACTCAGAGTGTGTTTCGATAACTCTCTCCATGGTATATATGATTGAGAATGTTTCAATCTTTTGTTTATTGTTCAATGTATGAAAAAAACTAGAACGGCTTTTAAAACAATCGTTTTATTTCAACGGTGTGAGTGATATTCTGATTCACAAATTCTGTTACATATTCAGAATTCATTTTCTCAGCTACTTTATTTCAATTTCAATTTCAAAGTACAAAAGTGATAATGTATTCAATGATTATTTACATGAATAACCATAAAAAGGCAAAAACGATGAATAGAACAAAGGATTTACGTCACATTGTCAAATCTTAGTTCCAATTTGAGTAATTGTTCCTATGATGTTTCGAGGTGGTCCACAACGAAATAATACCCTCATCCACTTCTGCAGTTCAGGTAACAAACCTATACAGATCCATGGCAGAAAAAGACAAACGATATAGATCATGTCAAGAAAATAATCTGTTTGGATTTCAGCAAGAAATGTTGGATTACCCAGTATTTGCACAACACCAACGATTAGACACGGCGACCACGCTGTCAAATAGAGACTTGAGATGCAGAACAACTGGATGGTCATACGTCGTTGTTGTTTCCATGTCACAGGTCGATGCTGTCGACGTTTCTGATGCACCACACGAACGACTAACAACAAGTTGGCAAATGCATTCACCAACATCGGTAAACCATTGTTGATGGACCAGTCGAGTGTGCCGAGCACTTTGTTCGACACCAGATAACAATCAGCAAAACCACAAAGATTACTTGTGTAGTCCCATTGTGATCCATCACATGGATAGAGAATGATGACGAAGAAATAGAAAAGCATTGGATAAGTGAGACACAACAGAAGTGGAATATGGTGAAGAACGATGCGCATCCATCGAATGTTGAGAACATGGCTGCTAAAGACCAGCATGTGTCGTTGAACAGAGATGGTTGCCATGAGGTATTCGCTGGTGACATAGAAGGTGAATTCGATGAAAGTCCACCATGTGCAGTAGATGTGTGTTGCAGGATTGACATAGCCTTGACTGTAGAAATGGAGATTGAGTGGTAGAGTTATCGATAGCTGCAT